ATATATATATATATATATATATATTTTTTTTTTTTTTTTTTTTTTTTTTTTTTTTTTTTTTTCTACTAACAACCCAACTCTCTGTCTACCTTTACGTATCTGTCTGTCTATCTATTAATAAAGCTTTAACTGTTTATTTTTCAGGTCATCTTGAGCAGCACAACGAGGCCACAGTATCCTAACTTTTCCCAGTATCCACCAGTAAGTTATAGACGTTTTGACCAACTTTATCCCGCTGCTTATTACCTATTCTACTAATATGATTTTTCCTTAATTTTGTACTTGTGTATTAAAAAAAAAATCATACTGTTGATACATATACTTACATTTTTGGTGTTTTGGTGTTTTAGTACTGATTTTTTGCGCTTATAAAATTGGTTTTTAGATTCACTTTTGATTCTCATGTACAGCAAAATCAGAACAGATACGGGTTCCTCGTTGACGGAGAGCAGATAAGGACCTCCCTCGCCAAGGTAGAAGCTGGGATGGGGAACCTCACTTGCGCTCTCCACAGGCTTAGTGTGGTATGTATATGTTATGTAACAGGGGTAGTCTCTTTTCTCTGGTGTTCTACATTTTCTGTTCACTTGTTATTCTGTATTTGTTGTTCTGGGTAATTGCTGTTCTTTAGCTATTGTTCTGAAGTTCGGTCTCTCTCGCATCTTTCCGTCTAGTGTCGGATTTGAAGGCACGAGTAAGTGTGTATGATTTCTCGCTCCCTCTATCTTTTTTCGTTATTTCTATTTTTTGGTGGTTAGGTTTTTCGTTTTGAGCAAACGAACGAGCGAACAAACAAACAAAAAACAGTTAGAACAATGGCTATCACTACTAATATGATTTATTATCAAATCACTGATCAACCACTGACATCCATTCATTTATCCGATATACTGTATATAGCAGTTAGAACACTGCCTACTACTGCTAATATGAACATTAATCATTCACTATCATATCATATCTACCACTGATATTCATTTATTTATCCGATATAAATACCTTTTTCAGATTGACAGCAACTTGAACATCATTCCACAAAACATAAACAGGCTTGTTTTTGAGAGAGTCACGGACAGAAACCTTAGGCAAGATCTCCTTAACGGAATCAACTTCTGCAGAGAGATGGTGGTGAGTGGGCCATATTCATGTCTTTTTTTTCCTCTAAAATCTTTATTGTTTCTCTGTTTTAATTTTGAGTTATTCTATTAGTCTCTCCTTCATCTTTGCCTCTTATCTTTCTTTTACGATATTCTTCATTCATTTGTTTGAATCTTATAATGTCTATCCACCCCAATTAATCCTCATTTTTCATATGTACACACCTGTGTCTACTAATCTTATTATCTCTGTTTGTCTGTCAGTTTGTCTGTATGTCTCTCTCTTACTCCTTCTCTTTCTCTCTCTGTCTCTGTCTCTGTCTCTGTCTCTGTCTCTCTCTCTCTCCTCATCTTCACTTAATCTCTTTATCTTTCTCTTCCAACGAATCATCCTCTCCTTCCACGCCTTTTCTTCCCCTTCTGTTTTCCCTTTCCAGCTCCCTTCTTCTTCTGTTTTATCCTCTGCTCTCTCTCTCTCTCTCTCTCTCCACACTGGAACGTGACCGGAAGCCATAATGAAGAAGTTATTAAGGGCCAAATCTCGGTCTTCACTCAGCTCTAAAATTGTCTCGTGTTTGTGCATATCTCTGCCACCACAAAGGGACCTTCTTGGAAGACCTTCAAATTCCTAATGAAGTGTTTTCTCGTTTTAAGATTTTCCTAACGCGGGAGGTTGCTGTGTTATGTTATCGTTAACATATGAAGAAACATGTTATTATTTAACTTTATCTTTCTTTCTATTTAGCAATGTCTGCCCGAGGACAAAGTCGGCTCTGCTCTGCGCTACAAACTTCAGCGAATCCTTGCTTTTATGAAGTGTGAGAGGAAGACCCGTTTAGATGCCTGTCTGAAGCACGACCTCAGGCAGAACATCAATCGCTTCGACCTCTCCGCCCTCCCTGACGACGGCGGAAGGACCGGGCCCTTGGAGAAGCTCATGACCATCCTCGTGGGGGCGAAATCCCTTGACCAGCTGGAGCTTTACTGAGCTCCTCTTGGACTGTTTCCCCGTCAATGTATTTAGTCTATGCGCCAACAATTAGTTCCCATTTTCTCTTTCCATTTCCCGCGTTTTCTGTTTTTAATTTCTTTGCCCTGTTTCTGTTTTCGTTCCCGTTTTCTGCGAGATAATGTTTCGTGTACCATAAACTGATGTATTTTATCTAGATTTACCGGTATGATTTATATGTTCATGTTATGGCTAGAATGCATGACAAAGCATTCATGTACTCTCTTCCGACTGAAAATGTAAAGACTGGATACATCTGGATATTTTTATGTAATGGACTGCCTGATTGTCGTTAAGAATCTAGATAACAATACTAAAACACGTTGTACTAGATATGATACTGTATTTACTTGCATTTTAATAAAAAATCTTACAAGAAACCCGTGTATCAATA